TACAGAAGATAGATGAATGCTACTTCTAATGAATAACAGATCAGTTCCCCATAGGCCAAATGATAATAACTGCCAGTAAATTATTACAGGTAAATTTTAGTAAGTTATAGTTATGTGGTCTATCACATATGTGAGAAATGAAATTCTGGAGAAGAAAACAAATGGACTAGATGGAAAAATGAAAAAGAAAAAAAAAAAAGTCTTAGCCACTAAGGAGACTCTTAAAGGAACTGGGAAGATACAGGATGACTAAAGCCTACCCATTCAGGGAGGATACTGATTCCCAGGTTCAGATTGCTACCCAAGCCACATAGGATCAGTCAACAGCAGGATATTACTAGCTCTTTTGAAGGACAGAGCTGGAAGACAATGGAAATGAATCAGGTAATGAAGATTTAATAGGTGAAGTGAGTATGGCTAGGAAATAAAGGCCAAATTTGCTAATTATTATTGGGCAGGTAAGGATAAACTAGAAGGAATCAGAACAACTTTGGAAGCCAGGGTGTTTTTCCAAAATACACTATGTCTTCTTTCTCCTACTTCCCACCTGAAGCAGATATCTTGGGAGAAATCTGAGCCTGGGTAAGGCACCTGATCCTAAGCCAGATACCATCTTTTAAATAAAAAAGACTCAAAGGATTTCCCATGGCTAGAGTTCATATACCATGGACATATTGAAAATAGTACTAGACATATAGTAAGCTTACAGATTGGGCCTATAAATATGTATAGCCCTGCCACCCTTTAAATAGTATTCCCACTCTACATATGAATAAGATACACAGAGGTTGAACAATTTGCATAAGGTGACCAGATAAGAAGTCATCTGACAGCACAGCCTATGTGTTTAATCATTACTACATACAGCTGACAATCACAGGGGAGTATGGTCATATAATGTTTTAATATCTGGCACTGAGACCTATTCAGAAATTGACATTTAGAGTATAATAAAGTACCCAATATAGTATCACTATCTTTCAGAGTCATTTTATGTGTGTATGTGTTTGGTTTATTTGGTTTTATTCTCAATATCTAAAAAGGAAACTGATTATACATTCTTAAAAATACCACTGAATCTCCAGGTAGTGGGTAGCAGTGATTAGTTGTGATCTCTTTATGTTTCCTATCAACATAAATACAATGATAAGATGATAAAGCCTGTAAATCAATGGGGGTGGGGGGAGAGTGGTATGCAGGTGGATTACTGGTGAGAAGGCCACACCTAAGAGAAAACAGTAACTACAGAAAGATGACCCACAATGTAAGAAAATAATTATAGAAAAAATAAATCAACATCTGTATACACTAAAATATATATATATAATATATACATATAGATATCACCCTTGCAAGTCAATGAAAGATTTAAGAGAATTACATTTTTACAATGTTAAAAGTTTAAATGGGTCATACAAGGAAGACTGAATTATCTAACACTATCTTAATTCTAAGTAATGTTTACTTACTTTGTAATCAATGGAACACAAATCCAGCATTTATATTCTGGAATGTACAAATATAAGACTGAAGTTGGCTAAAGAAAACAATTAGAGTCACTTTTACTAGATTTGGAAGGGCTCCTATATTTTAATACATGTTCTGAAAATTCATGACAGTAGAAGCAGAAAATCAGAATACTGCAAATGTCCATCTAATGTTCTGCATTCCTCCCTTGTCCTATTCTAAATCAACAAGACCAGTCCCAAATTTCTGCAAAAGATCAAGCTATACTTGGTCAAAAGTTGTATCTTTCCTGAGACTGTCAGACAAATTTGATTAGATTAAACCAAAAAACTATTCTTCCAACTTCTGCAACTTTAAAAACCTGAAAAACAGGAACTTAGATTCTTGGCCTCCCTACCAGTTTATACTTCACAACTGTTCTATGACAGTATCTTCCCAGAAATTACAGTTATTTCTTGGAACTCAATGCACTCTGAAAGATCATGATATGTCCATTTGTGATGGAATTTTTTACTGCTTCGAACATAGCTTGTAAAAAAAGATCTTAAACTACCTTCTGAATTTTCTTATATATGCATCCCTTCTTGTATAGATCAACCCAGTTATACGAAAAGTTTTTGGACTACACTTAAAGTGATAAGGTAACATCAAGTAAGATCCAAGCTTAATAAGAAGTCATTGCTATAACCACAGGGCTGACACATATTACTGCAGAAACAATCTGTTGAACAAGAGTTTTAATTTGAAATCTGTCTAATTTTATGTTTACTTCTAAATCTTAACCCACATAACAAATAAATAGGACTGGTCAGAAATATCACATAGTGATAAGCATTGGTAACTTAATTTTCTCACCTAATACTCTGAACGGAGGAATTTAATGTTTCATCCTGCATGCTACTGGTTATGGCTGCATCTCCTTCGGGGACAGCTTGTACTGGCTGTACCACATGAATAGTCCGGAAGAGCTGGGTAGGATATGGAGACTGTGTGGACTGCATTGTCCTCAGAACCTCTGATGGCTGCGCAACTTCCACAGGATCTTTGGATTTTGTAGTTTTAGAATTCCCTGGTTTTAGAACTGTAGTGGCTCCTGCTTTTATCCCTGGATTTGAAGATACTCTCGATCGGCTTGCTTGGTTCCTACTTGAAGTGGTTGTTGACGACAGTGATGGATCTGAAGACTCTATGCTGGAACTTGGATCCTCATCATCAATATAAATGAGATCTTTTGGCATTTCCTTAAACTGATACACCAAGCGCTGACCTTCTACTTTTGCCAGAATACCCCTTTGGTAATAGTACCTATTCAAACCAGACAATTCATCAATATTTTATTCCATTAAATATAAAATAATATTAAACAAAATAAAAATCTCCTAATCATAAACTAAAGTTGAAAGTTGAAACAAACAAGAAATGAGTTTCTAAATGAAGGGCACCAGTATTTTATATAAGATAGTATAATTTAAAAAGTATTTTCTAAATAAATATGTAAAACACTTTTATTCACCAGAGAGAAAAAAGACCTTATTACTAACTCAATCTAAAACCAATTCTAGGGGCCTCCCTGGTGGCGCAAGGAGTTAAGACACAGCACTATGAAGCCACCCAAAGCCACTGCAGCACAAGTTCAATCCCCAGCCAGGGAAGTGACCCACATGGTGCAGCAGACCTCTCCTGACTCACCTGCTGTTCCCCTCAGCAGTGTGTTTCAGTCAATCGGCCTGTCCTGCTCCCCACTCTGTCTCTGGTGAATCCTCACTCCCCACCCCCACACCTCTGGCCTGTACCCCAGTTCTTGTATGCATAAATAAATAAATCTTTAAAAAAAAAAAACAATTCTAATCAGGGGATTCTTCATAAAGTATATGGATTATTTGAGCTCTTCATTTTTACCCCTTCCTCTAACCACCTGCTAGGTTGCTAGAGATTATCTCTTCCATGCTTTTCTATAATTTCCCTACCAGTTTGAATTTAATTCTGTAACTTTGACTCAGTTTTCTTACAAAATTTATAGATAATTGTGTGAGCAACTGGCAAATCAATGAAATTTGAGGGAAAAAATTTAATGTAAAAATACAAGGGATGTAAATTTTGTTAATGATTTGAATTAATCCAAGCACCAAAATAAGAGTTTTAAAAAAAACCTAATTATTATGTTATCAGATCATTGATAATTCTAATAAATCTCAAATATATGCATAACTTGAAGAATATGATCACAGAAAAACAAACTAAAAGTGAGTTTTAAGACCAAAATTTTTATAATGTCTAATATTCTGAAATTTATTCTGTAATATATATTACACATATACTTGAGATCTCAAAACATAGGAGCTCTCTGGTGAATTTACAATTCTTGATGATCGTTTAATTGCTCTGATCACTTTATAAATAAAATATCTGCATTAAGATTTTTTGAGAAAGGAAAACCATTTTTCCAAATTAGAATAATATTTTGATTAAATACTTACTGATTTCTGTATAGTGTAATTTAGTGTTTCAGTAAATAAACTTCACCAAGTAATTTCTTTAATTCCTTAAGTTTTTAGCAATTAACTATTTTTTAGTATTTAGGAAAATATATTCTTACCAATAAACTACAAAAACTTCACATACCTGAGAGCTCTTCCCATGGTCTCATAATTCATATCAGGTTTGTTTTTGTGCTTCCCCCACAATTTGGATACTGCTTTAGAATCTACCAATTTAAAAATGCCTTTTTCTCGTTGGGTCCATTTGATATATTTAGGACAAGTTGCTTTGTCCTGAAGTAGTGCTAGTAAAAACTCCCAAAGATAAATTGTGTTTCCTAAAACAAAAACAATTTATTTTTAAGTGACTAAAATTTCTTTGAAAGAGCACAATAAAGCACAAATAAAAGTATTACAAGTTCCACCTATACAAAAATTTACACAACTCAAGTATTATTGGTTATATAATGGTCATAGTTTTTAGGGACTAATATAAGATCTCTGTTAGTTGCAAATAAGATGTTCAAGCATAGTAATCTAGCCAATTAGATTTGTGATGACTTAGGAAGAAAGTATTTTGAAAGAATCTTTCTATCTCTTTAAGAACCATTACCTAGAAGAAATAGTGAACAAGATTTGTACAGACCTGTCTTTTTTTATTAGAGCCAGTAGATCAGTCATAACCGTTTTCTTCAAATTTGGGCAGCAGTTATCAAAACACTACAACTCCAAGGCAATTAACAGATGTCTTTTAACTAAAAACTTAACCTGCCTGAACTCTACCAAGACACTATTAACAAAAGAATGGATTATTTTGACAGGTAAGTGAAAAATCTCTTAAATGGACTTCGTGGGTTACATCATTACCAGTCTCTTTACAGAAATTATCTTACAAGCACGTGGCAGCAATGAGATCCATCACATGTCAAGAAAGTTGGTGGTTTCCACTTATAATATGCAGATTTGAATGCAATCTAAATGTCACTTGACTCATGAGTACTGTAGAAAAATTACAGTAGTGCTTACCCTTCCCATCTTTGTTTTTCTTCTTCACAGATATGTTTGGGGTAGTGGCCGGGGAATCTGGTCGTGGTGGCTTAGTTTTTCTCCCTGAAATCAAAATGCTTCTACATAAATAGTTGCCCTCAAAGGTGAGAGACAATGAACAACTTGACTATTTATAAACGCATTTTTCCTCCCATTTATCCTAAATTTCATGTCAAATACTTTATACATGGATCACATATTTTGGTCTCCTAAAATGTTAAATACTTAAAATTAACTTCAGGAAAAAATTAACATTAATGTAGGTGAGATCATAAACATATTTACATAGGAAATGATACTTCAGCTTATATGTAAAAATGAAAATAAGTTTAAAATATACCTTTTCTTTAAGATGACAATACTGATAGTGTTTTCTTAAATTTGGGGACATATTCTTGATGCTGATAAAGCTTTTACTCAAAAATTAAGCCATACAGATTTGTCTACCTGTTGATTATTTAAGTGAAAAAGTAGAATTTTAACTTTTCTATCTTCTAAATATATCTCTGCTTACAGTTAGTTTTCAAATAATGGAAAAGTCCCCAAATTCTGGCAATATAGTAAATAAAGGAGGCAAAATTTTGGTAAGCCACATAGTCAATTTTTATTTTTTCTTCGTGTTTTTAAACCTATCATTTTCCTGTATTTCCCTCAATTCATAGCAAACATTTTATGGTTATTGATCATCTAATGTCTAAACAAGTCTACTCTAACACTATTAAACTATATTATGTGCAGATTTAGTCCGGGTCAACCAACATTATAAAGCATTGTTTGTGATCTGTTTTGGCCACGTAACTAGAACTAAAGCCAGTGGCAAGGTGCTGTGATTTAGGTTGAGATGACCGTGTTGGCTTTATATGAGAAACAATGAAGACTGGACATAAATAGATTCTTTAGTTAGTACCTCTCACCCCAACATTCTTGAGGTTGATTCTCTCTCTGGGCTAGATTATAAGGCTAATAAACTTTAGGATAAGAGCAATTTTACAAGAACTTGTCTGGTACCCCAAAATTACTGCCAACCAAGGGTCACTTTTATGCCAGTAAACTCAGTGATAGTTTAAAATCTAATCGCAAACCTAGGTTAAGGCAAGCCCAGGATTATGAATTCTCAAAGGAAGAATTTTTCCACTTACAAATCTCAAAAGAGAAATACAAACCTTCTTGATAGCTGCCAGTGCTAATGGGTAGACTGTTTTCCCCTGAGGGTGTAACGTGAAAGGGTCCCAATTACAAGGTGATGTATCTGTCCAAAATCCTATTTTGCACCAGAGCAAGACTTACACATCTGCCTGTACATGGGCAATAAAACCCAAGCCCCTTGGACATCAAGAGTGGACATAGCCTTCTCAGCCCTCCGAGGCTACTGCAATGTCAGCTCATTTTTGGCTCTTGGAATTTCCCTGACTTTTACATGAACTTAGTCACTGGGTGGCTAGTGGTACACTTAAACAAGACAAAAACTCAAAATATTAAATAAGCTGGAGTAGAATCCTAAGACTATGAAATGAAAAGTATCAGATTATAGAATACAAATAATGGTCCAAAAATGTGTGAAAAGTTAAAAGTTCCCTTTTAATACATTTTAACATTTTCCTCTTTAATTACTTACCTGCCAATTTCCAACTCAATGTATATTTCCAACTGGAATCCATGCTGGTGGTTTTCAAACTATGTCCTATGGGAAGAAGCTGATCTGCCCTTAGCCCTAAGTTCGCTCTTACCTTGGGTAAAAGGCTGAGCCTTTAAAAAGTTGGAAAATCTTTCTTCTGTGAAACGGATCAAAACTATCAAATGTATACAATCTAATTTTTAAAAATGAATCTAATATGAAGAAATGCCTCTTAATTTAGGTTTTGTGCCTTCAGTTTCTTACTTATATATAAGTTTAATATACATTGGTGTAGAAATATCCTTGAATTAAAATTATATTTGAATTCCACATAAGACTAGACTACTCGCCCTAAACAAACTAACCACCCACCTTTCTTTCTCTTAGGCTGTTCTGGTGAAGAGGCACCTGGTGAATGCGCATATGTCTCTTGAACCTGCTGAGTTTCCACCACTTCAGGAATCCCATCTAGTGTGACGGAGACATGGGTGATTGGGGCAACAACAATGTCTTCAGAGGAACTAAATATATCATTATCTAATGGAAATAAAATCAACTTTGTATTATAAGTCAAGATAATATCATAAGATAATGTCCTTTTCCTATATAGAATAAAGTAGAAATAAAATCTGACCAAATTACTCTTCCTTATAAAAATTTCACACTCTAAAATTGAGATATTATCCACTAGATTATAGGCAGAAAAAAAGATAAGAACAATTCAAGCTCCACGGCATTCCATTGGACGTTTTCAAAAGCTAGGTCGAGCCTACCTTTCCAATCTCTTCACCCACCATTCACGGTTTACCCTATAGTTATATCAAAGCATTTTTATCTTCAACATTTCATTCTTTTTTACAGGTCTGTCTTTGACGCAATCTATTCCTCTATTCGGAATGCCCTTTCCTGACTCCTCTACCTGTTAAATGTTTGTCATTTACAGGCAGCTCAAATCTTTCTCCACCAATCTCCGGTGTTTGCAGCTAGAATACTCCCTACTTCCAGACCCTGCTGTTATCCCTCTGATGACATTTATTTTTGGCTTTTATAGTTACTTACACAAATTGTTGTTTTCAAATTATAACTTTGAGGAATGAAACAACATCTGTTTGTATATATCAATCACATTATTGTCTAGTGCACTAAATGCACTGTGCAAAAGAAAATACTCAATAAACATGTTGAATTGATTTAGTAATCATTTTATGAGTTTGATTACTTTCTTGTGAGAAAAGTACAGAGGACAACCTGGATTTAACAGCAGATCAATAATGTAGACATAAATTTTGCACCGTGAAGTGCTAGAAATTTTTCAACAGTGCTGTCTACTCACTGATGATTATCTACAGAGATTTCTAGATTCTAACAGTTTCAGTCCTAAATATCCTAACAGTTTCATGAATGAGGTTAAGAGAAGTAATTAGGCATAATCTGCTATTTGTCAATTAACTAAATAAATAAACTACTTTTTATTTCTATAGGCCTCATTCCCCAAAACTTTTTTTTTTATTTTTTTAAAGGTATATTTATTTACACAAGAACTGGGGTACAGGCCAGAGGCGCATGAGGGTGAGAGGATTCACAAGAGACAGAGTAAGGAGCAGAACAGGCAGAACAACGAAAAACACTGCTGAGGGGAGCAGCGGGCGAGACAGGAGAGGTCTGCCAGCGCCATGTGGGTTTCTCTCTGCCCGGCCAGGAACCTGCGCTACAGAGGCTGCGGACAGCTTCACAGCGCTGCGCTCAAACCACTGTGCCACCGGGGAGGCCCACCCCAAAACTTTTTTTTTTTTAAGATTTATTTATTTATTTATACAAGCACTGGGTACAGTCAGAAGCGTGGGAGGGTGAGAGAATTCACCAGAGCCAGAGGGGAGAGCAGAGCAGGCAGACTGACGACCACCCCAAAACATTTTAAGTCTTGTTTAACTAAACACTTTAGCAAAGGTGCCTCAACTAACACTATATCTTAAAATATGCCAGGGCACAAAAAAACACAAACATGGTCTCTGGTCTGATACCTAATACAGATGTCAAGAATAACTTTGGTTTATAAAAACATAGCAATCTTAACATATAACCACTCACTCAATCGTTTTTCATCCAGCATAGCGTCAGGAGAATCCATATTGAGCAGTGCCTCAGCAGCTTCAATAGTTTCAATTGTTTCATCTCCATCTTGACAGGAAGCTTCAACTATAATACATTTAAAGAAAAAATTAACTATAAGGTAATTGTTGCTCTGAAACAAATATTCTGATTTCTTGACCAAGATACAATATGTGATATGTGGGGTTAATACATATTCTTATGAAAATACAAACTCTGTACTGAATAGGACTTAAATATTTGCCTATTTCTTATATAAAACTTTTTAATGAAAACTTCACATTTTACAAATGAACAAAACCTTTTTAAGATGTTGGGAGTTAAGAGAAAGCAACTACCAGTAAGATCAAAGTTTAGTTAATAATACTGTAACAACTGTTAATTTTCTATTCTTGGCCTCCCTGGCGGTGCAGGCAGTTGAGCGCAGCGCTGTGAAGCTGTCTGCAGCCTCTATAGCACTGGTGTGATACCAGCCGGCCGGGGAGATACCCACATGGCCCAGCAGACCTCTCCTATCTCTCCCGCTGCTCCCCTCGGCAGCGTATTTCAGTCAGTCTGCCTGTTCTGTTGCCCAGTCTGTCTCTGGTGAATCCTCTCACCCTCCCAAACATTTGCCTGTACCCTGGTTCTTGTATGCATGAATAATTAAAAAAAAAAAAATCTTTAAAAAATTTTTTCTATTCTTTTTAACTTAAGAATATTCAAACAAACTTTGCTTCCAAATAATTTTCTCAAACACCTCCAAATCTGTGGCTAAGATATATGAATATAAAATATATAAAATATTTAAGTACAGCACCAATTTCTAAAACTGGCAAAAATAACATTATCACTCACTATCTCACAATTACAAACTCTTCAAGTTTGAAATATCCTATTGGTTCTGACTAAACCAGAAGAACCTAAATTCTCTTCAAATACCAGAACCATATCCTACATTTATGTCATGGTCTATTTTCTATTTTGCTTCCTGTGGCAGCAATAAGAAAAGAAGAAGAAGAACATTCCTATCCTTTTCCCGACAAACAACTTCCCATTGTTATCAGGTATATAAAGCTAGGCATATAAAAAGTGCAAAGTGAAGACTTCATGAATTAAGTTGGTGTTACTAATTTTAAAATAAAATTTTTCCATACTTATCTCATTATATTTAGGAAAGAAGAAAGGGAAGGTGAGAAAGCACTCTGAAACACAGGCAGATAGAAAGAAAATGCATTTTCCTTCTCCTTATGAGACTTGACTTTCTGCAGGAAAAGTTAGGGGCTTTCCCAAAAATCACATGGTGGAAACAATGCTTTAAGCTATGCTGCAGCAAGTTGCTATTAGAGGCACATACCTGTAAGGGTGATGTCGTCATCATCATCCTCTATGATTTCTTCTTCTGCAACATCCAGGGAGCTCTCTGTGATCATGTCACTGGGCTCTTCCACACAGGCGAGACCAGCATAACTATTGAGTATATCAGCACCAGGAACGTGTTCCACAATGACGGCAGGAAAAATAGCTGTTGGATCACCAAGCTGGGAGGGGGAAAGGGAATAAAAGCATTAAACACGGTTCGTTTTAGTTAAAAATAACCCCAAAATATGTTATACTTGGACATATATTTAGCTTTCATATCACCAGTTACTTTGTATCTTAACAATGCAAAGAATATCTAAGACTCAACTTCACTACCAATCTTGGGTTTTAACAACCAAGTTTTCATTGAGTAATCCTTTTATGTATAATTTTAACCCATATTAATAAGAAAAATATTCGTGAGAAAAAAAGTGACAGAGAAATGAAATGTACAATTAAAAATTCAACAAAAGGGCCTCCCCGGTGGCACAGCGGTTGAGCGCTGGGTCACGAAGCTGCCCGCAGCCTCTGCAGCACCGGTTCGATCCCCAGCTGCTCCCCGGCCACTGAGGAGGGTCCCACATGGCGCGCAGACCTCTCCTGCTACCTGCTGCTCCCCTCGGCAGTGTACTTCGGTCCTTCTGCCTGCTCTGCTCCCTGCTCTGGCTCTGGTGAATTCTCTCACCCTCCCGCGCTTCTGACTGTGCCCAGTGCTTGTATAAATAAACAAATAAATAAATCTTTTAAAAAATATTTTAAAAAAATTCAACAAAAGCTTTTGACACAAAAAATCTGTGAGTTTAATAAATATGACACTGTCACAAGGAATGTGGGTTGTGATTAAAAACAGCTTTTAACTCAATGGAAAAATTAACTTTCATTTTCTATTTGGTTATAAGATTGAAGGATTTTAAAACTGAATGACTCTTAAAATTTAATCTAGTCCAGTCACCTCATTTTATGGGTAAGGAAACTAACCCAGAGAGGTTTTTTTTTTTTTAATTTACATATTTTTTACATCATTCTTCATTTTTGTACAATGTATGCTTTCTCATGTCGGTTACAGTCCCCATGAAATTCCCACCACCCATTCACCCATGTACCACGATCATAGTCCCTTGTGCTCTTCCCACCCCTGTTTTGATCCTACTCAGAGAGGGTTTATAATCTACTCAAAAATCTGTTAATTTGATATAAAAATAATTTAAAGTTACATGTAAAAACCAAATAAAACATTTTTAAATATATCTGATTTTAGAATCTATGACTCACAATACTAAATTATAATGAGGACTATCTAGAAGGAACTACTTTACAAATATAGTAAAAAGGCACTTGTCAACTCATTTAATAGTGCCCTACATGTCCTTTGGTAATGGTATTCATTTGCTACACTTTTAAATTGCCATTCTCTCTGTAACATTATCTAAAATGTAAGAAAAAGTTCTTGCCCACAGATAATAAAATTAGGTACTTTATTTTCCTTGAGTAAGTCTACTATATAGGAAATATCTAAAGTTTCATTATAACAAAGCAGTTTCAATCTTTTAAAATTATAGCACTACAGTAAGTTTAAATATTAGTTCTACCATAAGAATTTAATTACCTAAATTAAATGTACGTTATCATAAGTATACAGATATTATCTGTGCTTTCAATAATGCTATGCTCTAAATGTATAGGTAATAACCCTAAAACACATTTGGGTCATTTCATTTCAAAATGTTTTTTCCTATTTTGGGTAAAAACAAGTTAGATATAACAGGCTCTCCAAAGTTTTAAAACAGAAAGGAGGAGGCTCAAAAATTACACTATAAAACACACACATATAGCCAGAGGCAATAAAGTATATAAACCAGCCAAAATCTAGTCATTTGGCTCTCCCTCTTTTTTGAGAGGTGAATACCACAATCCAGTCTAGCATGAACATGTGCTTGTTAACATATACTTCTCATTTCTCCTAAGAGCTCATTATAGTTAAGCTTCCTAGACTTCTAAGAAGGCTGATCTCAGAATTGAGTTAATTTTCATGATTTCATTTTATGCAACAACAATCCTATGTATTAGGTAAGCATGGGGCTATCATCTCCATCCATTGACAGGTACAGAATTTGGTTAAGAAATTCACCCAAAGTTATGCACCAAAGACAGAGAGAGAGGCTTATCAACACAATTCACATGAGCAGTCCTCACCAAAATGAAACCAAAGTATTTCTCCTCATCTAAATCTATGACTCCTAATATCTGGTAGTGAGTGTTAAGAGTGTGGATATTATGAGAGATCTCCAGACCTTTATCTGGAGTTTTATAGTCTCTGAGTTTTATAGTCTCCAGAGTTTCAAATAACTGCAGATATTTGTTACTACTTTCTTCCTTGTCCTATTCTACTAGCCTATAAGTGGACTTGAGGAACTGATTATTCTCCACAAATTTAGAAGTCGCAGAAAACCATCTTGTCACAGAACCACTATAATCAATGCTACTTTCACTACAGAGGCAAATGCTGTAACTGGTGTTTCTGTTCCCTAACAAAGACCATCTATGTGTAATCAAGCACATTCTAATTTGCTCTATAAACAATTGTTTTTCATTTCAGTTCAAAGATTGCAGTGATATTTAAACTGTTTATTCAGAAAAAATTCAAACACACAAAAGTAGAGAGAAAATAAATCAGTTCCTTTTAAGCAAAAGTTTAATTCAGAAAGAGTTTAAATCAAAGACACGTGGTCTTTGATT